AAGAAAGGCCCCCCCCCCCCCCCCCCATCTTTGCTACAGGCACCAAGTGTCTTGATCTGGCCCTATTGGGGAGCTAAAGACCTATTGGCTGCCTTCATGCAAGCTAATCTTGGTTAGTTTTATTATGGCTGAGTATGTGGTGCAAACCAGCCTCTTTAGGTTAGAATTTGGTGTCTTGTGCCAACCCAGAGAATAGGTAAATTGCAGCATGTTCTGGAAAGGTATCTATCTAGTAAAAACTAATTTTGTCAGTTTCATATGCTTGCAATGATTTTATAACAGGATTTAAAAATCTGGAGGTATACAGTATCTCATTCAATTTGTACCAATAATAGAGAGGAATTCTGCCTTTTCTCCTCACCATTCTGATTCTGCCTCCCACTTAGTCTCTATTCTTAAAAGAGCTATTATTCTTATTGCTTATTAGGTGTCACTGCAGGGAAGATAAACATCCATCAAATAGAATAGTTATTGATAAAGACCACACTAAATAAGTGAAGGGTTTTACGTGTGAATTTAGCTCCATGAGACAGCTTTTGCTTTCTCATACAATCGGGTTAACAGCTTGTGCCTTGCTGATATTGGGGAGAGGGAGGCATTGCCCATCTCTGGAAAGGCAGCCTAATCTTATGCAGGGAGCAACACCAGACAATGAGATCCAGCAACAATAAAGCTTTATTGATTCAAACTTTAAAAAAAAATCAAAGATACATTCATTCACTCATACTATTTATATACTACCCCACAGCTAGGTTGGCCAGGCCTGGCCTGGGTTCTGGGAAGACAGCTACATAGCATAGGTGATGGGACAATGGGGTTTTCCAACAGAGATCCATACAGCTTGTTCTATTTATGTTTTGTCAGCAATGTCTGTCACACATTTCTTTCCACATCACCTCAGCCTTTTTGTTAATCTGTTAGGTTTCTACTCAGATGTGACTTGCAGCATGGCAGTTAGCTATTAATTCTGGTTGCTGTCCTCTGGTCTCTGATCAACTGTTTCCCAGTTCCATGCATCAGTGTTCCCAGTTGAAGTCTCTATTCTTCCATTCAGAGAAAGTGATACTTATTTTCTTCTTCTATCCCACTCACCTATTAATTTAACTATCCTTGATGCCAGATTGCTTGCTCTCTCCCAAAGGTCAGGAAACATTACAACAGAGGTGCATTGTCCAGACTTATACAGAGGGCAGCTGGGTTCTTTTCTCTCCCCATCTTCCCAGTGTGCCTTTTCTGTAGATGTCCTTTCTCTGAAGAAGCAACATGTGGATCTAGTTTTCTATATTTAATCCATCTTGTTTAGACACATACTTTTTAGAGTGTTCTCCATGCATGTACTTTGCAAGTGAAATCAACTTGGCTAGCTTTATCGTTGATGTTAATACTTTCTTGTGTGACCTGGGTCTTTACTGAAACATAGTAAGATAGTGAGCACTCTGTAATGGTGACATTTGTGCAAATCCAGGGGTTTGTCTGAAAAAAAAAAGTGAATTTATATGCATACCTCTGTAGGCCCTTCTTTGTCAGTATCTTGCTGGGTCTGTAAATATTAAGGATTGGAAGAACCAGGGACCATATAGCTGTTGGAGTAGGCCCCTCCAAGTATTGAGAAGATGCATGGAAGATGTGATCTGATTTCTCCTCTTGTGAGGAACTATAATGTCTGATAATAGAAAAACTGTCTTCAGAAAAAGATTGAGAATTCTTTGAGAAGGAGCAAGCTCTTAGGAACCATGAGGTAGTTCAAGTGGATCCTCATTCTTTATGGGGAGAGGACAGCTTTCTAGTCCTCATTTCAGGAGAGACAAGAGGAAGCTAAACAGAGTCAGGAATAGAAGTTGTAGAATGGGACCCCTGTGATGGGACTCCACTGGAGATTCCTTAGGTCTTTTTGTAGGATTGGAGCATTCCAAAGAATTCTCTATGAAAGACAACTAAGGTATTTAGGGTTGAATTGGATCCTGATATCAATCAGTACAGCATGAATAATGGAGTGTTTGCAATAGTAACAACACATATTTCTCAGACTGCTAGTTGCCAAGGAGTGGATATAGTGTACAGGATGTCATTGAAGCTAGCTAACTTTCTCTTGTAACAATAATTTCCTATCCTTGATGCTGACTCCACAGTTCTGCCTAATATTTGCTGTTTGACTCTTTTGTGACTTTATATCTGGTGCTAATAAAGCTGTCTTGACATCTGGGTTGTTCCAGTCTGCTACACACATTTGAATCTAGCAGAAACAAGCTGCAGGGTCAGCCATATTAGAACAGTGACATTGGCAAAGGGAATTATGTAGAAGGGGTGAAGGAAGGTATAATCTCAAAAGCAAGTTTAGAATTCATGTATTCTAGGATTTGGCCCTCCCAACAACTCCACCTCTTGTTGGGAGGCTGAAATTATGTGTTGCCTTTTAAACAATCAAATATCTTGTCCCCCCTCTTCCCTTTTCCATAAACTTGGTCTGGTTCAAGTATTGAATTTCTGACATTGTTCTGAAACCTGCAGTGGTTAAATTAACAGGAATGTCAAGCTGGGCATGAGGAGCAGGAACTGGGGATGATGAAGGGGTCAGAAACAAAGTCTTAAGAGGAGATATTGATTTAGCCTTACATAGGATGACTGAAGGGAGATATGACAGTACTTTTCAAGTATCTGAGAGGGCGTCACCTAGAAAGCTATAAGCATGCAGGGCTTCAGTTAGAGGAATGCGGATCCTGGTTGAATTTTGAGGAAAACTTCCCAATAATGAAAAAGCTATTTGACAGTGGAACTATTATCCAGAGATGTAGTGAGCTGACCTCCATTGGGTGTTCTTAAGGAAATGCTGGATAGCCATCAGTTAGGAATGTTTTGATTTGGATTTCTCTACTCCACAGTGGGTTGGACCAAAGGGCCATTAGTTCCAGGTTTCTTTGATACTAGGAGTCAACTTCAAAGGATAAATTAGGAAGCTGAGCTACAGGATTAGTTTGGCTTTGGATTTGGCTGTGGGTAAGGTATGAACCCATCCACTGTTGTTTGTAACCCATGGTTTATGGCTTAGTATGAACCAATCCACAATAGATGTTTCAATAAGCCATGCTTAAATGAAACCAACCTTTGTAAAATACAACAGAAATAGAAAGATTTTTTGAGGCTGAACAGCCTTAGAGAGTTGACAGGCTGACTGAGTTTTCGGTTCTTTAAATTGGTCTATGAGAAGGAGATTTCTCTGAGACTACATCTAGAACAGCCATCACAGCCTTGGTGTACTCCAGATGTGTAGGCTTCAACTCTAGAATTCTCAGCAATGGCCATTCTGGCTGGGAAACTCTGAAGGTTGAAATTCACAGATCTGGAAGTTGAGCAGGTTAGGAAAGCTGATCTGAAAGGTTCTGAGGTGGCTTGGGACTTCATGAGCAGAACCCCAAAATGGGATTACATTTTGGGAAGATCAGGGAGATGTTCATGATTGACCTGAGTTGGAGTGTCCTTTCTTCCAGGACTCAGGTTGATTGGAAAGAGGCCTTTGGTGATGAATTGCCCAAAGCTCCATTGAAGATGGCAATTAAAGGACAGATCAGTTCATATGTCCAGGAGTACTAGCATAATGTAATCTTTTTCTCTCTGGGTAGATAAATGTCATGGTTAGGTGTCAGCAATCAAATCTTAATTGATTTATAGTCCCCTTACGGAGTTGTTTATGTTGTGTCAATCAGTTTCCCTGTTGCCAAGTTGTTAACACAAACCGTGGTGACATAAGGTTATTTTTTTCAGAGCTGCTGATTAGTTTATCAGGACTCAAGCATGTTACCCAAGGGAAACGGAGAGATACGCTTTCCAAACTGGCCTTATGTAAGCTCTGTTAAACTTTTCACCTAGCATTTAACACCAGCCTAGGGAGAGCTAATCTGGAAGTGTCTGGATGACATGGAAAGCAGCACTCTTGTTTATTATAAATATATGCTTAATCCATGATCTTTCTTGGGGAACATCAAAGTTAATTCTCAACCTCTACTGCTTTTCTTTCCCATTCTCTGATTCACACATTGTGCTAAGCTATGATTTTTATAATCATGTTTTATTGAACAAACCAAAATTGGCTAGGTTTATACTACATGCTAGGCTGTAAGCCATGGCAGAAAATAAAGTCAGTTTCAAGTCAAGTTTGACTTCATTCATGCAGTTTTCTTGACATGATCCCAGAGTGATTTGCTGTGGACAGTGTTGTCTACATCTCTGGACTTCCCAGATGATCCCCATCCAAATACTTACAGGTCCAACACTGTTTAGCTTTCTGGATTGCTTGCTGAGTGATACAAAACATAGCTGGTTTCATATGACAAGATAAATCAAATCCAGACAAATCACATTGTGAGTTAGCATGATGCGTGCGTTAGCCAATTATTTTTTAAAATTCTCTTATAGCTATTATTAATTCTCCAGTGCCAGGGCATTTGTGTTATCATAACTGTATCATGTATAGTCATTATTTTACCTATGCTTAATCTTTTATGCAATTATTTGCATTTTTCCCCTGCTTATCTTATTGTTTATGCCCCTTGTACCGCATCTGTCTATACCTATGAACTTAAAATAACTCTTCATTTCATCAACAAGTAGATTCTGTTTCTTGAAAGCTGATGCTATAATAGAGACATTTGTCTTAAATTCATCTTAAAAGTGCCTCTGATGGTGTTTTGTTTTTGTATATTTGATCTCTTGCTGAACTTCCCGCTTCAGAGCAACAATAGCTCAAAGGATTCATAATTGCAGTGTGATCACATGTTTGAACAATGCAGCTTATGTAGCATGTGTTTATGCAGACACAGACAATTGGTCTGTTCTCTGTGGAGCTCTTGTCAAGCCCATTTCACCCCTAGAGTGCCTAAAACACTTTAATGAGTGAGATTCCTTTTTATAAAAGAATACAATATATTGTAAAAGCAAAATAATGTTTATGAAGGGTTTTGTTTATATTGCAGAGTTCTCATGACAAAGATGTGATTCTGAATACCCTGAGTATTCTCACAAATCTTCTTTCAATTGGTAAGTGAAAAATGAACATTCTGTTGTAGGGTTTAAGATGGACAATCTTGTATTGGAAAGGTTCCAATGGACTAATCTCCAGTAATACAACTGGCTAATATCAGTCTCTAGATTAATAGTTTTCTACCGCCACATTTTATACTGTAATATGGAATGCTTTATTTACATTAAATTGGTTCAGTATCCTAATGAACACCTTTTCCCACTCATCCCGTATATGGATTAAGATCTTCAGAAGAAGATCCTAGGATTTTATTTTTAGTATCATATTCAATGACCACCAAGAAAGCTTATCCTCTGTGGATTTTGTCTATTCCACAAATTAAAATGGATGCAGGGTGACATCTGAACTAGATGGTTGCTTTGCAACAAGAAAAGCAGCCACTGGAAAGGAATTGTCGAGGGTGGCTAATTCAGTTTAGAGTGTGAAGGAAAATTGTGCAAAGTGAGTTCTTTACCCAGCTACTTTTTACACCCTGATCACAGCCCCCCGTGCTGCGTGTATTGGAAAACATCCTTCCCCTAAACTGGCAGAATACTCAGCTGGATTGCCTTATTTGGCTTTTAGAATGATCTAAGATTCTAAGCCTGTTTGGTGTAGTGATTAAGGTACCAGGCTAGAAAATGGGAGACTGTGAGTTCTAGTCCTGCCTTAGGCACCATGCCAGTTGGGTGACCTTGGGCCAGTCCCTCCCTCTCAGCCCTCGGAAGGAGGCCATGGCAAATCAGTTCCAAAATCTTGCCAAGAAAACTGCAGAGATTTGTCCAGGCAGTTGCCAGGAGTCAAAAACTGACTTGAAGGCACCACCACCATCACCACTACCACCAACAAAAAGCTTCTGAGCGCTGCTGTATCTTCTCCTTTGGAGTATATCAGCTCCAGTATATCATCCCCAACCTGCTATGTCAAAAGTTCTTGGATTTCAGTGTCTAGAATTTCCAGGTAACAAGCCCAGACGTACTGTGGAATTCTGGAAACTGAAGTCAAAGTCATCAGGAGGGCAGTAAGTCAGAGTCAGGTTAGACAATCCCTGCAGTGAACATGGTTCTTACTTGATATGGAGATGGCATATTTGGCTAGATGCAAAAAAATCATTGTGCAAAGTAGACCTGAGCTGCTTAAAATCTACATGTTGGGTATCTGGAATAGTTTTTATAACTGTCCTTTCCTTTCCCCAGGGACAAACAGGAGAGTCCAGTACACTATTAGCAAAGGGGGCAGCGAAGCCCTTTTGCAGGCACTGGTGAATGCTGCACAAACGTCCGTTCCAGACTATGACATCTTGTTACCTCTGTTGCGCTTGCTGGTCAAAATTGGCTGTAAAGGTATTTATTGACAAGAGTTTATATGCTGTTCAATTTCAAATAGTTCAGAATGGCTTTCATCAAGCAACAATATCATTAATCATTATCATCTAAATCATAAGCATCCCCAGCTGTGCCATTCAACAGAGGTAGATCAATCCTTATTGCCCATAAATGCTTTCCTGAAGAGCCATGTCTTCACAGCTCAACAAGGATGAGGTACTCTGGATATAAGGGGGCAAATTGATTCACTGAAGGGGAGTTATCTTTGAGAAGACTTGACTGTGGAGTCTCTTTCATTCCCATGGAGAAGGGACCTTTAACAAGCATTCTTCTACTGGATGGACAGTCTCTGCATGTAACAGGTGGTCTCCAAAATATCCAGCCATGTACAGTAGAGCTTTAAAGCTGCCAACCGATAATTTGAATTGCACCTGGAAGCAGCCTGGCAGCCAATGCAGCTCTTGTACTTGTGGTGTCACAAGGACGAATCGAGATATGCCCATAAATAGCTAGGTCACTGCATGCTATGCCAGCTGAAGTTTCTGTGTGGTCTTCAAGAGTAGCCCCAAGTAGAGTGAGTTGTGATAGACCAACCTTGAGGTTACAAAGGCATGGATGGCTGCGCACAATACCTCCTGATACAAGATTGGCTAGAATTGGTGCATCTGATGTAACTGCACAAAGACCCCTCTGGCCACATCTTCCATCTGCTGTTGAAGTAGTCAAGGAGAACCCCCAGACTGCAAACAGCCAGATATAACTGCTAAGCCTGTTTTTTTATGGATCAGTACTACACTGCTATAATCTGAGCTATGCCTTCACGCCAACATTGTGAAGAGAAGTCAGTTACCCACTATGTGTGACGTTCCCCAGATATAATGGTTAGCCTATTACAGACAAAAATAAGTAGCAAAATTACTTACTCAGGCTTTGAATAGTAATGGTAGGGTTTCATACAGTCGTTATGTAGTTTATTACCTAGAAAGAGGCTCAGCCACTGTGATGTTTTGAATGGAACTGCCAAATGTGTCATGAAAGAAAGCTGGAACCTAATATCAAGGTCAATCAATCTAAATGGATATGCTCCTGTAATTCCCGCTTTGCTACTTAGGATAGTATCAGGGAAACAATGTAATCCAGGAAATGATGAAAGGTAATACCCCAACCCACTGCACTGGGATCTGGATTCAAGTTTTTTTCAATCCCATGTTGACTTTCTGAATCAGATGCATCCATTCATCCTCACAATCTTTAGCAGCCTTTTTCAGCATCTCCCAGAGGTTTTATGAGCACAGAGTATAGAATCTGTTGAGACTTCAGCTCAAACCTGGAAAATCCTGGAGTTACATTCCCACTATTTATTTCTGATTGGGAAAACTGACCTCTGGACCTGGTCCTCAGACTCATCTCTATTCTGAAGTAAGTCCTACTGAGTTCTGTGATGCTTATTCCTAAATAAACATGTATAGGTTGAAATCTCAGCTTGACTTTCAAACTCACTCACATGCTGGGTCCTTTAAAAGATGATGTAGCAAGAAAGTGGCTAATGTCAATGAGTGTAGTAAGGTGGATTTTTAGAAAACGGGAATAAAACTGCATGAGCTCGGATGCACTGGCAGGAAGCATTTTGCCCTGAAATTATAAGCCACACAAATTGGCATCCCTGAAGTCAGCAGGAGAACCAAAGCACACAAAAACTCCAGGTGGAGCTTTAAAAAGATGAATAAGATGTGAAGTTGGAAGATCTCAGTGAAAGAGTTTTTTTCCCCATATCCAAGACAACTGTTCTCCCTATTAACAGTAGAAGGTTTCTTAGTTCATATTTATTTTCCCTTTTTCTTTTTCCTAGATAAGAAGTTTGGACTAAAAGCAAAACGTCTGGAGGCAATTGATGTAACTCTCAGCTTGGCACGAAAAAATCTTAACCATCATGAGCATCTCACCCACTGTCTCTGGGTCCTGCAACTTTATGCTTCCACTGGTAAGTGTGGGATTGCTTCCATTTTGGCCACTCCACTTCAGAGTTTGGTAGAAAGCACATTTTGGTAGTCAGAATTTGATAAGGCAGTTTTCATGGGCTACTAGGATTGTCTGGAATTCTGAGAGCATATTATGAGCACTCAAACAAAACAGTGGCCAAGATGCAAGTTCCAAACTATCCATACACCAAAAGATGGAAGTTGTCCCCAACATTCATTCTAAATTAATAAAAAACTGAATCACATAGGGAACCTTGTGGACACCAGAAGAACCTCTGCAGGCACATTGCTTCCTTCATCTATTTCTCCCCTATTATGTCTTCTGATGCATTATGTTTCTCTGCAGCCAGTCAGGGCTGGCCTTGACTACCACATTACACATGGTCGGGTTCTGCTGGAGGATCTCTGGGAGTTCCAAGTGTGTCCAGCCTTTTCCAGCTGCTCTCATTTTTTTTCCCTTCACCTTCTCTAACCTCGTTATCGCTTCCCTTATGGAGACTTCTAACTGTATCAGCAGCAGTTTGGCCCAGTTTGACATGCTTAGCATTTTAGATCTTCCCCTTGAAGATTTAGTGCTACTGGCTTCTGGCCCTGTGTGTTCTCTGTGTGGGCATTCAAGACCCCGGGGGTCTTCACACACTCTGGGCCTTCCTGGGCAGGCAGCCAACCTGCCATGGCCCTTGGCCTTCTCTCTGAGATAAGCAGTATTGGAAAGGGTGTGTGTAACAGAGATGACAGTTGAAAGGCATCTTGATTTAGATGTGTTTATTTCCACTGCCTTGCACATTCAAAGTCTTTCCTTATGGCTTGTTTTTTTGTTTTGGGGCTGCTTTCACATGCAACAGGAAGAGAAGGTAGTATTTGGAAATGTAGGGGCAGACTGATGGACTAGTAACTCAAGACAGGCAGTGATGGTTACCACAGATCTCTCCAGTGCTGACTGAAAAAAAAAAAGTGAGGAAGACTGACAAGGAAAGTGTAGTGTGCTGCATAGATAGCGATCCTGTTATTCAGGAAGTGTGGTGAGATCTTATTGTTCTCTCTACCAACATTGAATAGACAGCTGTGGTTGATGCTGTTACTGTCAATGCTTCTGATTGCCCTCCAAGTTTCCCCTGAAAAGCAAGATGAAGCCTGTGCTTGCTTTCGTTTACAGACAGTGAATTAAATGACAGTTACATTAATGTTGGTAAGAATCCAGCAACTTTCAAGGCCCATTCAGAGGGTGTGAGACAAGTGACATGGGCTACACAGCTCTGTCTTTTGGCAAAAAAATAGTTTAGAAGGAGCAACTGAAGAGATGCTGCTCTCACTGTTTCATATGAAATGCAACTTTACAAAGAACTTGCTACCAGAAGTTCAACAGAACTTCATTCATCCCATGGATAGTCTGAATTTCATTCCATTTTAAATTTGTTTATGAAGATTCTCAGTCATCCAGGTGGAATTGTCTGGAGGTTGAGTCATGGCAGCTGGACTT